AATAGTTATAAGCGTTTTTTGACGAACGAATTTTTAGTTAATTTTTGTGCAATGGATTTGCAGAAAGAGTTTTTGTTACACAAAACTTGTTATCAATTGGCTTAATTACATCTTCACTTATTATAAAATCCTATCATATTTTAACTATATAGCTTTACCTAGTAATAGCACAACTATTCCTATATATATACTTAACAATATTATTGAAGAAACTTCTTGTAACTTAAAACAATTTTGGCTTTTATCTTAAGATATGAGTAAAGCCTATGATTCTGTAGACCTTACACTTTTTACCAAATCCTTAGCACACTTACAAATACCATCTAATCTTATTAACATTCTTATTAACTTACTTACTAATTGATACAATTAGGTTATTACAAATTTAGGCCTTACTAATTTCTACAATATTAAAAATAGCATTGATCAAGAAAAAACTATTACTTTACTATTCTGAAGAATTTATTATAATTCTCTTATAACCATAATAGCTTTAAACTTCTCAGAATACATTTTAAGTACAAAGTAGAATACTAGTCTGCTTTAACCAAAGTCTTAACAACTTCAAACCTCTGTATTCATACTAGCATATATGGATGATACACTTTGAATAGCCAAATTCAAAGAAGAATTACAATTAATTATTGCTACAGCTACCTTTTTCTACTATATAGTTGATATTCAAATTAATTCAACTAAATTAATTCTTACCTCAAACATACTATTTATTATTTTTATTCATTTTTTTAGCTTATTACTTACACTAATTTCTTCTAACCAACTATTCAAATTTTTAGAATGTTGGTTCATTCTTAATAATTTACATACAAAGCCAACTAATTTATAATGAAGCAATCTAACTTATTAACATTACAGACACCAAAAAAATTATAGACAAACAAGCTATATATATTACTAATACTATAATTATTCTTATTATTAAATACAGACTATACAATATCATTCTTAAACACTCTATCTGTGATAAACTCTTATTCAAATATCTTACTATAATTAAACACAAAGCTAAACTTTCTTATACTAGTCCTAATAGCACCATGCTAAACCCTTATATATATAATATATATAATATTTAAAATATCTAGCTATAACATCATATATCTTGCTTTTAACAAAGAATTAGCAACTCAGAAACTTTTGGCATTTCTACTAAAATTAGATTATAGCAACTTTAAAACAATCTCTAGTTTGCTACCAATATCCTTTAACATAGCCAACTACTTATAGATAAATCTAACAAACTCATATTTAACTTTAAAATTAACAACTCTTACAATGTCTTGGCATTTTAATTCTAGCAAAGTTTAATATATTGTAGTCTAATACTGTTTATAATGGCTACCAATTATTAGAACCAATACTCAGTCAACATCCCAAATATTATACTTTTAAAAAACATCTTTGCAAAAACAACATACTCTATTTAGAACAATTATATACTGCAGACAACAGTATAGCTACTCCAATAGCACTACCTTTTATCAAGACTTCATTATTTAACAAAAGGAAGGCAACCTTCTTGGTTTATCTATGTATAAAATATAATTTTATCTAATAGAACACATCACTTAATTCTTCTTCACTTCCAACCTCTTAGAGTTAATGCCTTTGCATATAACACTTTATCAATTAAGAAAAAACTCAAAACTTGGCTACTTATCTACTATAATAATAATAATGAAATTATTATTAGCAAAATTCACAAATACTTTTCAAACACAAATCAGTTCTTTATATCACATTGAAATACCAATATTGATTTAGAACACAATTATTCTCTTCCAAAATTGAACTGTACACTATGTACTAGATGCCACCTTAACTTAAATAGAATTAACCAAACATAAACAATTAATATTTCAGCAACTATTTGTATTAGTTTTTTTAGGAAAAAAACTCCTAAATTAAAATTCAATGCTAACTACTTAGATCTTATCTATTCAACAACAATTAAACATCTTTTATGAATTTTTCATAACCATTATACTATTAATATATCAAATTCAACTATCACAAAAATCTTTAAACCCAATAAATGTTTAAAAAAACTTGAAGAAATTTTTTAAAACAATTTATCTTATAAGGAATTTACTTTTTATACAGATGGATTAGTAACTGATATTGAAACTGAACAAAGCTCAATGGGCATTAGATAGGTCCAAGTTAATAATAATAACCAAGTGCTTTATAAATTTTTAGCTAAAATTTATGACTGGCCATCAGCTTATAAGACAAAGCTCTTTTTTATCTTATTAGCAATCTTAATAAATCACACAATGCAACACTTCAAATTTAAACTAACTTACAATTAGTTATCTTAAAGTTCTACAAACTCTTTACTCAACTTAACAATTCTAACAAACTCTTTAAATTTAATGCATAACCTTTATAATATACTTTTTTCAATATTATTAAATTTTTTAACTTAAACATTAGCTTTTACAAAGTTCAGCCTCATACAAACAATACTTTTAATAATATGGCTAATTCTTTAGCAAAACAACACAATTTTCTTTGTCTTTAATTTTTCAATATACAAATATTTACAATTCTTTTATATTTTACAATAAAAACAAAATCTTGTCAAGCTTTCTACTAGACATTTTATCAAAAATATCTGCAAAGCTTACATATTAGCAATATGGTTATTACTAAAAAGAAACAATAAATGAGTTCATATTAATCATTACATAAACTGAAAATCTATATAATTATATCTTAATCATAACCAAAAACCTTTATTAAATTTTACTAGCTTTAAGCTTAATTAATCCAAAGTCTTTAAAGTTAATGCTTTACTAAACAAACTACCAATACACTTTTTTTTTTACAACATCTATCCAGCTATCTTTATAAATTTCAACTGCTTTCAATATAATCTTTTTAACTTTCACTCATATTGGCTAATATGCTCTAATTCTTCTCTTATTACAAGCATTATTAACTCATCAGTTTAACATATTCTATCTAAAGCAGATTTTAATTTATCTACTAGTTAGCTATATGAACTTACTTGTAAAATTCAAAACCATCTCTCATTTAACTAAATACCATTTTAAACAAACTCTTTCTATCTTAACTTTACTTTTAAAGGCCTTATATCCAAAGCCCTAATTAAAACAATTCATAATTACAACATACCTACTAAAATAGTCTTACAAACTATTATTTAAATACTTTTTGATATTAATGATCAAATCTATAATCAAATGTAGAAACCTTATTGTATTGACTTCTCCAACTAGAAAAAAAATATTATTATTACATCTCTTCAAACTTTTAACAATTACAATATCTTACAATAAACATAACAAATTAGACATCACAAAAAATTATATACAAGCTATATATACTTATGTCAATATAAAATAGCAGATCAATTACACTTACATCCTACCAATTGGATAGACTATTAGAAAAATCAATACAGTCGGACCTCTCTAAGTGCATCCTCTATATATGCACACTCTTTCTAAGTGCACACCCTAGCCTGGTCCCAAGCTTGGGCCTTAGTGCTAAGTGCACACCTCTATCCTTTATATGTGCATAAATTTTTGGGAACCTGAACTTATAATATGCACTCTGTAAGTGCATGCATGTGATTATCATAAAAGTTTGACTAATGAAAATATAGAATTTATCGATGATCATGAATTAAGATTTCTTTGGTGAGATGGAACATACTAGACCAGGTTTTATATACACATATTTATAGTATCTTTTTATATAAGCTTAAAGATGCTAAAGTCTGTTTATTTACAGTTTTAATGTAAATAAAAAATATTACTTAAATGATTACATTATCTAACCATTAAGTAAAATATTAAAATTGTTGGGCTTGCTAACAGATAATGAACTTTATTTTAGAAAATAAGATGATATGATGTAATTCAACTACTGAAGCTGTATAGGATAAGTTATATTTATTTAAAGTTGTATAAAAAAATGTTTATGCATACATGTCTGGTTTAGCATGCCTAGTAAAAAAATATGTTACCACAATAAAACCATACAATGTAAGAATATACTGTAATTAATAAGAAAAAAAAAATCCAACTTTTACAACTATTGGGAACAAATCTATAAGATAAGTATTAGAATAAGCTTTTTTAATATTCCTCCAAAAAATAATTACTGATTTTACTTTGTCACATTTGATTTAATTTAATTTTTTTAATAAAGGTTTCAACTTTTCTAACAGCCTTAATATATTCATTAGTATCATTATCTTGCTGAAGGAGAAACATGCATACTGTTTTCAAGCTTGTTAATTCTATATTAGTATCGATTATAGGGATTTCATTACTATCATCACTTTCTATTTCTTCTAAATCTTTAGCAGCTAAATCAGCTGTCCTAAATGTGTTTACAATATCTGTAATAACTTGATTATTGTTAGAAACTTCATAAACAATATCTTTATCAGAAATAGATAAGAATTCATCAACTTGCATTGGATAAGTAAGATAAGGATGAAGGGCTTCAAGTGCATTAGCAAGATCATCAAGCTCTGAACCCATATCATCTGAAGATTTTGTAAATTAGTGTTAGCATCTGCTAAAAGAATTTCAGTATGGCATCAACAATTATGAATTGTTTCAGTAATGATTTCTTTCTAGCCTTGAATAATATAGCATATAGCTTGCAATACATCCATCTTTAGCTCATCTGCATGCTGACCATTTTTTATATATTCTAACATCCATTTTAAAAAAAAAAATTTATTAACTTATTTATCTATTTATTTTTTAGTAGGGCTGTTATTGGTTTGGATGATTTAGCTTAGCTTAGCTTAAAGAAACCATAGCCAAGCTATAACTAAGTTATAGTTTAAGCTATTGACTACAATTAAAAATTTAAAACCAACAATTATTTTTTTATAACTTTAAGTAATTTTGGTTTAAGTTATAGTTTTAGGCTATTGGTTTGGCTTGATTTTAGCTTCAAATTGTAATTAAAGTTAACTAAGCAAAATTAATAACATCTTTATTTTTTAGATATTAAATTTTAGACAGGTTTGTGACCTGAGAGATTGATTTGTAAATTTATATACAGTCAATTTTGGATATAGTAAACCTTTTTATAATGAGCTTATTCAATAACAAACTTTTTAAAAAAAAATTTATGTAATTCAGTATAGAATACAATAATTTATTCTATAAAGAACTTTTTAAAATTTTTTATTATAAAAAACATCAGCTCATTATAAAAGGAATTGACCATATATAATTCTTTTAAACAAATCTGTCTGGTTATAATATATAAAAAAATTTTTAGCTTTTAGATTAAATTATAAAAAATGAACAAATTTTTTTATATAGTTATTTAAAATACTATAGAATCTTACTAAATATGATAATGATGATAGTGTCTTTTAAAACTTATTATAATACTGGCATCAAGTGGTTGGATTTTGGAAGTTACATTTGGAGGTAGAAAAGTAACATCAGTATATTGTAAGATAAGACCATCTAATTTGTGGCTAGCACAATTATCAAGAATAAGTAATACACATTGGCCATGATGTGTTAATCCAATTTGATAATCAAATTCCTTGAGCCAATCTTGAAATAAGATAGTAATCATCCATATTTTAGCACTACTCCTATATTTAATGACTAAATAGTTAATTTTGATATTTTTAAAGCAGTGTAGTTTTGCATATTTTCTGATTACAAAGGAAGCCAATTTATATGAACCATCAGCATTGGTACACAATGCAATCGTAAGATGTTCTCTATTTACTTTATGCCCAGAAAGATGCTGAGTTACCAATGTTCTATCTGGTTTCAACCTTTAAAATAAGTTGTAATAGTTAATAACAAATGTTTATTCCATATTGTTATGAAATAATGCCTTAAGCATTATTTTGAGACATTATTTCCAGAAGGTAAAATTTAATTTTGGTAAAGATTGTTTTTAAAAAATAAAATTATTGTTTGTATTCATCAAAATTAAAATTTAACTTTCTACAAATTATGTCTCAGAATAGTATGTCAGGTATTATTTTGTGATGATATGGTAATAAAAAGGTTTATACTAGTAAAAAAGCCCAGTTTCATCCATATTATAGATTCTTTTTAAGGGGTAGTTTGAGCTTTTGTTTCTTAACAAGGGTAAAGTATTGTTAATGGCCATTCTGTTAGCAAATTCAGCTTCTTCTTCTAGATGATATTGGTGAATTCCATTTCTATCTTTAAATTTTTCAAGCCAGTCATTAGAAAATTTTAATGTTCCTTGAGGAATTCCCAAGCCATTAGCAAGTAACTTTAATATAGTTAATGAACATGTTTGAACATAAGTTTGGATTAAAAAAAAAAAAAAAAAGTTACTATAATGCTATACCAAATTAATTGATTTACATAACCTGGTCAGGTCAGAATTTAAAAACTTGTAAAAAAAATTTTATGTTTTATTAACTGGGTGGGTTTTAAAAAAAAATTTATAAAAATTTTATAATATAAATAAAATTTTTTTAAAAAAGGCCAGATGGTCAGGTCTGTTTAAAAATTTTACATTATGAAAACCAAGAAATTAAATTTATATAACCTAATCTGAAACTATTTTTTTTTTTAAAAAAAGAGATATATAGGCATTCTTTGATATGGATATCAAAAATTTACAATGCCAAATACCTTTGCTTTTTCAACAAGCAAAGCATCACTTAGGATCATTTTATTCTAGTAAATTAGTACTAATTCTTTAAGCACAAGGTCAAGTTCTGAATAGGTTACTGCTCTGTGACATTTTGTATCAGGATTGAAAATTTCAGAGTTAAGTCGTTCTTCTCCTGTTTTTAAAATATGTGAAATTGTGCTTTCATCAACTCTGAGACCTCAATCCAATTAACATACTAAGATTGTGTTTGCTTATTTTCACAGGCATATTCACAAAGTGCATGTTTTTGCAATTCTATGAGAGTGGTTCTTTTGGTTTTTTTTTGAGCATCTTTATATTTTTTTTTTAAAAAAAAGTTATTATTGAAGATAAAATAATAATTTGAATATTTTTTATTAAAGATGAGATAGTAACTTGAAAATTTTTTTTTATTAAAGGTGAGATAGTTTTTTTATATATGTGAAAATAATACAAAGTAGTTACAGCATAATCTAATCTATATTTGGATTAATTTATTCTTTTCTATGCATTATTAAAAAAAGTAGAGAAAGATTCAATATATAAGTCCAGAGATGAATTATCATGACTATTAGATTTCTGTAAAAAGTATAGAGCATTAATATACAATTTTTGGTATGTGGCTATAGGCATTCTTAAGAATCTATTTTAATAAATTCAATAAAGAACCAAACTCATTAATCAGATTCTTTATCTAATTCATTAAGAGAGGTGTTTAAAAATGCCTTATATCTATATATAATTTGAGTCACTTGAATCAGATTTTATTTTAGTTAGATACATAATAATTAAGGTTTTGCAAATATCAGATTTGGGTGCTATGTCTTAATAATATCATACTTACACTTGCAGAATTTTAATGATATGGCTTTTTTTTAGTCTAGTGAGTTTTTTAATATAAAAAATACTAAACTAAAAAAAACTTTTTTATGCATCTTTTACAGTTAAAGCATGAGTGCTTATTTATCTATGCAGGGTTTTAAAAAATATTGTTATTTTAATATGGTTAATCTTTTTGGCATAATTGAACATTTTATATGCATACTCATTGTAAACTAACAATGCTGTAAGTAAATTTTTTTTTTTTGGTAGCTGATATGTAGCTGATAACAGTTGATATTATTGATAAAAGATAAGTCAATTGTATATGTATAACAAAGTCAAGATATTTTTTATTCAAAGATATACTATTTTCATCTTTCACAGATTTTGTATATCAAATTGGAAAACAAGACTTTAGTACATATTGTTTTAACAAGACTTTTATTACTAATGTTATATCAGTTTTGATCAGAGTAAGTTGCCAAGCAAAGTATCTTATCCAAATATCATAAATGTGCATATACAAGACTGGTTTAAAAATTAGTAAACTGTAACAGACCTGGGTCTTGTATATGCATATTTACAGCAAGTTGCTGAATTGCTTTGATATAAAGTTTTGTCAGCATTAATAACAAAGAGTAGATAGTTTAATAATGTAAACATAGTTCTTTAAAATTTGTAATAAGAGGCATTGCTTAACTTTATAAAATGTATACTATTTAAATAATAAAGACCATTATCTTAGTAATAAGTTTGGTCAACAACTATAGAGTGTGTCATTTTAAATTGTTAGAACTTATTTTGAGTTAATTATTTTGCAAAATTATAATAATTTTATGTAAATTGCACAAACCTCTATTTAAATTTTATAGATTTTTTTTATTTAAATTCTATATAGTTTAATAAAGCTATAAACACATATAGTTTAATAAAATGATATATGTAATTTTGGGTTCAGAATTGCTTAGTTCAAGTTTGAAAACAAACTTGAATAATATGATGTGAGAGCTGCATTCAAACTTCAAACTCATATTTTAACTGGCTTTGCATATACTATATAAATTCATTTCCTAGCATTAGTATATATTAATTAATGCAGGTTAAAATATTACATACAAGTGACTCTCGTTATAATGATATAAGTATAGTAAAAAACAATTTATACAAAAACTCTCTTGATATAGTAAATTTACTCAAATTTTACTAATAAGTTCTTGATATAGTGAAGACAACTTTACAGTCTTATTACTTCACTATAAGTTTTATTTGAGATATAATAGTATGGGGTCTTTGCTTTGAAAATCAAGTATAGGACATATGATTTACTATGTCTCATAACTTAATTTTCAAGACAAAGACCCCATATGTTATATTTAGTATTATTGATTATATATTTATAATGATTAATTCTGATTAGATAATTAATTTCTTTATATATTTTCTATAAATGCACACACTCTCTAAATGCACATCTGTCTTTGGTCCTAAGGATGTACACTTAGAGAGGTTTGACTATATATGGTTAACACTTTGGATTAATTATAGCATATCTTACAATCATATTCTAACATTACAAATCTAGATAGGCCTTGATCATCATAGTTAGTTTAGGTCACAGATAAAGTTGTTTAAGCTTTAATTCTTGCATGTAGTTTTTATTTTGTATTTTACAATTTTTTTTTTTTTTTTTTTTTATTAATATAAGCAGTCACGCTAGTATTTTATTAAGATCATAAAATTACTACTGCAATTACATAAATGTACCTAACAACTAAGTCTAGCATCACCCGGCCACCCTAATGGTGCCTAAGT